TTGCTTCATATGGTGTTTCTGGGAAAGTTTTTGAGATTATCAAATCATTTCTTTCTGACCGGTTTATTAAAGTCATCCTTGAAGGCCAACACTCTTCTTTATTTCCAGTAACTTCTGGGGTTCCCCAAGGTTCCATCCTGGGCCCTGTTTTGTTTCTTATCTACATAAAAGATCTTCCTGACAACCTTTCATCTAAAGTAGCTCTTTTTGCTGATGATTCAACTTTATACTCCTGTCTTGACAAAAAGTCTTCTCTTTTCGATCGCCTAGAACAAGCAGCTGATCTTGAATCTGATCTCACTTCAGTAATAGATTGGGGTTCACAGTGGCTTGTGAATATCAACTCTAAAAAAACCCAATTGCTTACTGCAAACAACTACCGTAATATGGTCAACATTCCTATATTAATGAATGGCAATCCTCTTACTGAGTCGTCCTCTTTACGTCTTCTTGGATTATCGCTTACTACTGACCTTTCATGGAAACCATATATACAATCGATTGCTAAATTAGCTTCTGCTAAGGTTGCTTCTCTTTATCGTGCTCGCCATTTCCTTACTTCTGATTCCATTCTCTACCTCTACAAATCTCTTATTCGTCCCTGTATGGAATACTGTTGTCATATTTGGGCTGGTTCTTCTAATGATTCACTTTCTCTTCTTGACAAGGTCCAAAAACGCATTGTAAATGTTGTTGGACCTGGACTATCTGCTAAGCTTGAACCTCTTTCCCATCGTCGTAAAGTTGCATCTCTTTCTCTTTTCTACAAATACTATTATGGTCACTGCTCAAAGGAGTTATCATCTCTAGTTTCATCAACTAAAATTCATTCTCGTTTTACTCGTCATTCAGCTAAGTCTCATTCGTTTACTGTATCTGTCCCTGCATGCTTTAAAAACTTTTATTCATCTAGTTTTTTTCCCCGCACTTCAATCCTTTGGAACTCTCTCCCATCTTCATGTTTTCCTGACTCATACAACCTTCAACTTTTCAAGTCTTCTGTCAACCATTTCCTTGCTCTATAACTCTGTTCTTTTTTTCCTAGTAACTCCCAACTTAATAGTGGTTGCTTGCAGCCTTGTTGGGAGTGAATGCAAATAAAAAATAAAAAAATAAAAAAATTTTAAGTCTTTTAATTAATTTTTTTTTTTATAAAATGATCAGTTTCTTTAAAAAATTCACAGTTGCTGTTAAAGCTACTTGTTACTGTTTACGACATAATATTTTCTAAATAAATGTCACATAAGTGTTATTAAAAGATAATTTTAATATTCCAAAATAAAAAACTTATCAAGGGCTGTATTATCTTGACTTTTAAGTAAATAACTTTAGTCACTTTTTTCTGTTACCTTTTGTATTATTAAAATTACTTTAATAATTTCTTTACTTTTTCTTGTTGCTGTTTACATGTAAAGAGACCTCAGAATGCATTGGACCTCAGAATGTCAGGTTTTAAATTAAGTGACATAAAATCCAAGTTTTTCTGTTAAATACTGAAAACCACAAATAATCTGAACAAAAAATATAATGTTAAGTCAAAGAAAAAAAATTAAATATTACCTTTAGAAAACATTATAATCAGTAAAGGAAGCAGTTAAGTGGTGTTGATTCAGCAATAAACATGGTTGAGCTGCTATTAATTTAGGAAAGTTTACACTAGTTAAAGATCTAAGAACAGTTAGTAAATGACTTGGTGTCATTGAAATTGGAAAGGAGAAGGAATATTGTTCAATTTTTACCGAAGATGAAGAAGAGTCGCTAGTCTTTTATATAAAAAACAGGAATAGGTAATATGCATGATTCAGAAACAAAACTATTTTCTTATAAACTTTTCAAGTTAAAAGGAATAAAATAAGTGTATGGCAGAGAGATATTGGTACCACTTGACTTTACAACCATGATGAAACTCCCCAGTTTGCCAAAATCAAAATGGACTTTTAAGTACATAACAAATGTTTGACCACTATTTAAAAAAAGCAATATAAAACTGTTGTTGTCCTGTCTGATGGTCATTCTTTAAGATTCGACTTTCATGTATTGACATTTCCAACAAGCAAAAATATTTGATTTTCTAAATTTCTAAAAACGTTCTAAATTAAAAAGACCTTCAAGAAAGTCTTCAATTTTCTTAAAATTACATTTCAAATTACTTAGCATTTTGTGGTGCTGATCCAAAAAACTATATAGTAAACTTTATTGATTTCTTTTAAGAAGTGAAAATAAAATGTAACATTAAAGAACTTAAAAAAAAACATGTAATGAACAAAAATCATAAAATAAGATCTAAATAAGCTATAATCCATAATCAGTGAAAACAGAATGATGGGTTGTGTTCTAGAAGAAATCAGAGATAGAAAAGAAGTCTTCCACGTTACGTTCATCAGATTTAAATTGAAGGCATTTTATGGTTCCTCTTTCACAAAATGGTTTTATCATAATTGGTTTTGAACCTGTTTCACCTCAGCATGATGCTTCACTGCATGTGGATTTTAAAATGTTATGGCAGCAATAGCATTCTTGAAACTTAGCAAAAGAACAAAGATTCTTATTGCTGAATCAACACCACTCAACTGCTTCCTTTACTGCTTATTTTTCATCTCTTTTAACATTGCATCTTGGTTTGTTTTTTATCTCTATGACCTCTTTTAACATTGCATCTTGGTTTGTTTTTCATCTCTATGACATCTCTTTTAACATTGCATCTTGGTTTATTATTTAGTTTAACACTACGATTAAAAGACTTTTCCATTACTTATTTATTCACAACTCCAAAGGAATATCAAAATAAAATTCCATATTTGCAATTTACTTTAGTAAACACATTTTAATTTTCAAAGCAAACAAAGAAAATTGAATATAGTGTATTTTAAAAGAGGTTTTATAGTAACTATACAAAGGTATACTGTGGGCAAAACATTCATTTAATAACGTTGAAAAGAAATTAAATAAAAATATATTTTAATTTTTTTTTTAATTAAGTTTCATTTATCTAGCATTCTGAGGCTCCTTAAGATAGCATTTTGTAGAAAATATAAAAAGTAAAAATCAAACATTTAAAAATATACTCAGCAGGGAAAATAATGCTTTTATGCAGAAATTTATAATTTTCTAACCAAAGTTGGAAGCATTACAACCTATTGTTTAACCTGTCATTCTGAGGTCTCTATTGAAAAAAGTATATCCAAAATATTTATTTAAAGACTTAAGAAAATGGTACTTCCAAAAAATTTAACATTTTTGGCATTCTAACAGGAGTACTTTTCCAACTCTTAAATATAAAACTAAGCAGCTGCCCAAATATTTTTTATTAACCAGGATCTTAAAATACACTTAGTATCTGAGGTCCTTTCACCAGTATGATAAAATTTGTCATTGATTTACAAAATTTGTAACTATATTTTTATACCATTTTCTTATTTTTTTAATAAAAATCTGCAGTTTTTTACATGAAAAAAAAAAACATTTTTGCAATATTTTTGTACTATTTTATCTTTAAATTTTGCATAATTTTTATATCCTTTTTCATAACACTACTTTACATTTTGTTCAAAAAAAAGTTCTTAAATTCTTAGTTTCTTCAAAGCTTTTAAGTATTTGTTTAAATTTTTGAAAACTCTTCTTTTAATTCACTCTGAACAAGGCTTCAAGCAACCACTATTAATTTAGGAGTTACTAGAAAACAAAGAATAGAGTTAAAAATTAAGGAAATGTTGGCAGAAAACTTGAATTTTCATGTTGTATGTCAGGAAAACATGCAGATGGGAAAGAGTTCAGAAAGATTGAAGTACGGGGAAAAAACTAGAAAAATAGAAGTTTTGAAAGCATGCAGGCGCAGATACAATAAAAAGATGTGACCTTGCTGAATGGAGACTCAAGCAAGAATGAGTTTTGATTGATTGAACTAGAGATGTTAACTCCCCTGAGCAGTGACCATGATAGAATTTGTAGAAAAGTGAAAAAGATGCAACTTTACAATGATGGGAGAGAGACTCATGCTTGGCAAAAAGAGCAGGTCTAACTATATTTACAATACACGTATGGATCTTGTTTAGAAGAGAAAGAGCATCATAAGAAGAACCAGCCCTAATATGACAACAGTATTTCATACAGGGCAATATAAAATATTTGTAGAAGAAGAGAATAGAATCAGGAGTTAGATAATGGCCAGCACAATAAAGAGAAGCAACCTTAGTAGAGGCTAACTTTTCAAGCAAGAAAGGGATGTGCGAGGAATAATTTAAAAATATTTTAGCAATTAAATTTTTTTTTTGTATATATAAAACAGACTCATAAAAATGCTTTTTTTTATTTTAAATTAAAAAACTATAGTTTTTAAACAATGAAATGTTCAATAATATTCATTCTATTGTAAAAACTTTTTTTTTATATAATATTAGTGACCTTTCCAATGTTAGGACAGGTCACTAAATATTATAGTAGTTACCTCTAAATTTAATGTTAAAGCAAATAGTTTAACCAAGTAATAGGAAAAAATATAAACATAGAAAATAGTAAATATAGATATGTTAAACACAAATAGAAAAAAATCTAAATTTGAATATCTATCTAATATATAATGTATATACATCTATAAATGTAATATAAGTTAATACCTATTTATTGTGTTATGTATATTCATTTACCTAATGTACTTTAAAAAAAAACAATACTTTTATTTCTGCAGTTGTAAATACTGTAAATGCATTTACTAGTAATTGAAAATAAATGTTTAAATAAAAATAAATGTTTTACTGTTAAAAATATAGTGAAATATTTTAAATTCATGTTTATAAAAATGAGAATTATTAGAATTAGTTTATCTAATAATAATTTGTTATTTCTATATTTAATTTACAATTTTAATTTTTTTATTTACAGCCCTAATTTTTAATTTCAAATTCTATTTTAACAAAACTAGTTTGTTTTTTGCATCAGTACACAAATATTTATATATATAAATCTTTATTTTCTTAAAGATGAAATTTTTTTTTTTTTTTCAGGAGCTCTAATGGTTGATGCAAACCATGTCTCAGATACAAGTTCGTTAGTTGATGGTCTCACCGATGACACTCAAAATGACAATGATTTTGATATAAAAGTTGAGAGCATTAAAGTTGAAAGCTCTCAAAGTAATACTTCTTTTTCCGGACATCAAGATGTTCTACAATCAATTCATAGTGAAATTCAAAATCTTAATTTTAGTAGCAATGGCACACAATTTCATTTTATGCCCTTGTCATCTGATGATATTGAGAATTTACAAAAAATTAATCGTAATGTTTTGATGAGTCAAGCAGCTTTGCCTGAAGAAAATAAATGTAATGAAAGTATAATCGAACAAGATACAAAAAATTTATTTTTAGCTCAATCTTCTCATAATGGGACTACTATCCACAATGAAAAAAATCAATATTTAGAACGTTATAGTAATGAAGATGCAACTGGATTGTTTATTAAACATGAAAGAGCAGCAGGAAGTGTTATAAACCGAGTTGATGACATTTCTACTAACAAACTTCCAACAACACCTACTGATTTAGAAATATTAGATGAGAGTAATGCTTACCAGCATATTGTTTATATACAATTAGATGGCAATAATGAATCACAGTTAATACCTGCTACAGGTTCATCACAGCTGCCTTTAAATACCAATAAAATTGTTAAAGAGAAAATGAAAAAAGAAAATAAAAAAAGAACACATAAAATAAATACATCTACAAAAAATGATATTGAAAAAGTTTCTTTAAGAACATTAGCACCACGAATGCCTCTTCATACTAACACTCAATTAGGGATGAATTCAGAAAGGTCCCACTTAAAACCTATGACATTTACATCTCAAATGCAGTTATATGAAGGGGGAGAGCATTTTGAAGTTTTAGGAAGGTGCATTCAGTGTTTTCGGTTTAGTAGAACTACAGCATATTGTCGTGCAGAAAAAAATCATCGGGATCCTAAGTCTTCTGTTTGTCTTGAATGTGAAGCTACAGGTGTTAGTACTGTAGTGTGTCGAAGAAAAATGAACCATACTGCACCTAATGCTCTTCCATTAAATATTGTTATAAATACTGCTTTGCAACAGCCAGATTATGTGCGGCAGCTTTGTTTACGCAACAATTTACCATATTGTCTCAGTGAACTTCAAAGCATTGTCCTTCATCATGCTGATATCACATTTTCAGCAGTACGATTAAACAATGAACAAAATGATACTATTGTAGCAAGAAAGCCATCTGATTATGCAAGAGGGTATTTGTATCCATACAGTCAAGAGAAATGGGAAGATTGGCTTGATAGATATTGTCAGCAGACTAATACTAGTTATAGAATTAGAACTGGAAAGCGACGCAATAAAAAGATGGAACATGGTTTGGCTAATCATAATGGAAAAATTGTCCAGTATCGAACTCTAGAAACTCAGTTATATAATTGTGCTTTAGGAGGTAAACCGCGAAAGAGAAAGCTAAGAGAAGGCATTAAAAGGCGTAAAGAAAGAGGATCCAAGTTGATTGGATGCTCTGCTGTTATACATACTCGTTTGTTAGAAACAGAAAATGAATGGCGTGCATTGGAAATTACTGTACCTAAATTATCTGCTCATTTAAATTCTCATGATCCCAGAATGATTCAGAAAAATAATCTTATATTTGATTTTAAACTGCTACCTCAATTTCCTCAACAAGTTATTATAGATGAACAACATATGATAGATTTTTCACAAATTATAAATGAAGACTACGATTTTACACTTAAAAAAAAGGAAGTTCCATTACCAGAACTTAAAAAGTGTGCAAAAAATCTTTTATTGATGTGTGCAAGTCTTTTAGATCAAATTAATGATGTTGAAGCAATCAATACTGTGCAAGAACATGGTCAAATTATTTTAAATAGACTATTAAAAGATAGTGTTGTAAAACCACCGACGCCTAAAAAAAAAAGAAGATGTAAAGATGTTAATGCAGTAGATTTAACTTAATGAGTTTCTTTTTTAATTTTTTAAATTTTTTTTAGGTGTGTAAATAAGTTGAAATTTAAAGACTTAATTTATAAAATTTTTTTTTTTGTTGAGCATATATTTTGTTAAGAGTTGTTAAATTCTTCTTTTTATTTAATTTTTAAGTGATTGTTTTTATTTAACTTATTTTTTTATAATTTACGCATAACTAATATATATGCAGGTATATATATATGCATATATATATGCATATATATATATATATGCAGGTATATATATATGCATATATATATATATATATGCATATATATATATATGCATATATATATATATGCATATATATATATATATATGCATATATATATGCATATATATATGCATATATATATATATATATATATACACACATATATATACATATATACATACATGCCTCACTCCCCTAAAATGGTTTACGCCCACTCACACGGAGTTTACACTCCCCTAAAATGGTTTACGGGAGCAATTTACAGCTCTCGCAAAGGTATAATTTTTTTTGCTCGTTTTAGGAGAGCTTTTCACCGCTCTTGCACTCATTTTTTTCCGGCGAGGCCTGTATATATATATAGGTATATATATATATATATATATATATATATATATATATATATATATATATATATATATATATATATATATATATATATATATATATTTCAGCAATGCTGACCTAATTGTTAACCTGAGAGGTTTTGAGGTTGGCAAAATAAATTGCTGACCTGATGCCAATTGATTGATAATTTTTTTTTGCTGATCTTATGCTGACCTCTAACAGCAGTTTATTGCCAAAAATTTATCTCGAGTGAATTAATGGAAATTTATCATCACGAAAATTTTTTCAAAAAAAACAAGTTTACTGTTACAAGAATAGTTAAGTTCTTTCATAAGACTCTCACAATTATTATGTTTTAAATATTTGTATAAAACAGAAGTTCAACCAGGTAATACAAATGAGGTAAATAAAAGCTTGTTACTACTTCAATCAACTTTAAAAGCATATACAAATAAACAAACTTAAAAGATAAGCATTTCTCAGTGAAAAATAAGTAATAGAAAGGTATTCTTTAAATTTAAAATATCATCTTGTCTTATCATTGTTATATATATAGATTTATTAAAAGGTAGCGGGATGGTTTATACTTTGTAAAAAAGTGACGGGATGGCATCCTGCCGCATCCCGTTTCACTTTAAGCACTGTGTATATATATATATTTGATATATAGATGAGGAGGTCGCTGTGCGAGAAACAAGTTGAGTGCGGTACTACCAGGGACATGGTGGGGATTAAATTTGAAACTTCATACTTATGTGGTTATATATATATACGCATGTATATATATATACGCATATATATATACATACAAATCACATTTAGATTGGCAACCTGAAATAGAGAGTTGTTAGGGGCTGCAGTGCATACATTGACTGACATAGGGAGAACATGCAAGGGAGTTTCTTCTACATCAACTCAGTGGTTTGGGTTGGGGTAGCAGGCTTTCACAGGAGGGTGTGCGATTTCATGTCTTTATATGACCACGCAAAAAATAATATGTTTTAACGATTTGACCATGGCATATTTTCAAAATTTAAAAACGCGCTACAAAAACTTACCTAAACTTATCTGAAAAAAAAAATATTAGTTAAAGCAAAAACACAAAAAAATAAATATATATATAACGCAACTAAAGCAAAACTCATCAAACTAAAATGCTTAGTCTATTTAATTTTACGTATTAAAAAACCATTTCAATCTTTGTTTTTACATTGGTATATATTTTTTATTTATTTAATATGTTCAAAAGATAAACATTTCTCATAAAAAATACATAGTTATATAAATAAAATAAAAAAACATTTTATTAATACTTTTTTTAAAATTAAATAGAGTTTTTTTTACTTCATTAAAAGGCGTTTCGATAATATAAAAGCATTTAAGATTAAACTTATTAAATTGTAATGGCTTTTTAAAACCTTTTTTTAATGAAATTTTGTTTATCTTTTTAAATGCATTAACTTTAATCATTCTTATATTTAATTTTGGTAAAGAGACTTTCGTAGTCGTAGAATGTCATCGTTTATAAAAACAAAGCAATTTTTTATTTTTTAATAATGTTTATTTTAGAAATAAACACTTCAACAATTTATATATTTTAAATTTAAAAAAATATATACAACTGTCAATTATATTTAAAAAATAAAACCTTTTTTCAGTAAACTGTTACTTTATTTAAAATTGTTTCGCTAAAATAAAAACATTTGTTAGGAAGTTTTAATATAATTAATTTCACTTTTTTAGAATATTTTTTATTTAGCGCCTTTTTAAAGTGTTTTTTGAATTAGACGCGGTCAATCCGTCATAGCAAAATGTAACTTGCGTGGTCATATAAAGACATGAAATCGCACTCCTTCCTGTGAAAACCTGGGGTAGTGATTTTTCATTTTTTTTTTTTTTGTGTGAAAAATTTGTATGGATTTAGGTGGGTACTGCCAACCTAATTCCAGACAGTTTTTTTTGTAAAAAGACGATACCCTAACCCAAACCCTCAGTTGATGTAGCAGCAACTAACTTGCATGTTCTCCCTATATCAGCCAATGTATGTACTCAATCCCTCACAGCTTCTAAAATTCATATGGCGTTTATATATATATATATATATATATATATATATATAATATATATATATATATATATATATATATATATATATATATATATATATATATATATATATATATATATATATATATATATATATATATATATATATATATATATACAGTATATATGCACATGCCTGAATCACAATACTATATAGTTTTTTTAAATTTCTAGATATGTCTAATGAGGTATATAAAGTCTTTAGTTTTCATTGAGTTAACATTAGTTTTCAGTTCATATCATGTTTGGCATTCTATGAATACTAGTCAAGGTTTTTAATTTACTGAATTTTTTAAGTCTATTAAATTTAAGAAAACAATATAAAAGTTTTTATATCAAATAGA